ATTTGCAAATATGCGCAACCCTGTGTAAACTAATATGAAAATATCGTAATACAATAAATATCTCGACATCGGCAAACAGCAACAAACGGGTAAGTCTTGTTAAAAAAAAAGTAAGCCGAAAATTATACCATTTAAACAATGGTAGTTAATTTTAATTAATTTATTTATTATACATAACATTATTTAACAAAAACGCTATGAGAAGATTATAAGCATGTGGCATTGAATTATAGTAATGTATTGTGCCTAAATCATATCATTGAACATGCTATGCCTATTTATATAAAATATAGAAAAGAAAGCTTATTTATAAGACTAAATTAATTAATTACTTTTACTCCATAACAACGACTTTCACGTCAAACGATTTTGAGACGGCCTTGTATGGGGCTTTCCCAAGTGGACTATGAAAAAATCGCGTATGTGCTGTCTCAAACGTCCGTATCTCAGTTATTTCAAAACTAAATGATCTATAATTTTAAAATTTCATGGTTTTATCTTCTAAAATTAAGAAATCCCGTACAAACTGTCAACCCTCATTTCACCCCTTCACTGGTCGAAATTTCAAAAACGCCATGCCCTCTCGCTGCCGACCATGGCCTGGACCACTGCCGGCAACGAAAGGTCTGCGCCAACCACGCGGATGAGTTGGCTACGCTCGGATATCCACGCTGGACATTCCATCAAGGTGTGGTCAGCGGTGTCTTCCACGCGACTGCAGTGGTGACACGTCGCTGTCGGCTCTCTCCCGACTATGTGGCACAAATACCTCCCGAAGCAACCGTGCCCCGAGAGGATCTGCACCAGCCGGAAAGTCAAGGATCCGTGTCGGCGGTCCACCCACTCCATGAGGAGCGGGCGAATAGCCTCCACGGTTCGCAACCCGGCCACTGGCTCAGAGAGCCTTTGCCTCCACCGATGGAACAAGGACGACCGCGCAGATCGTCGCCAACTATCCACCCGATCCCGGTCCGGACTCGTTCCCCGGGATCGATCTCGCGCGCGCTGGTGGTAAACCTCCGCCAGAACCTGGGCATCCAGTTTCCAGGGAGGCGTCCCAGCCAGCACGCAAGCCGCCTCATGAGAGACAGAGCGGTATGCTCGTACCACCCTCACCGCCATGACGCGCTGCACTCTGTGCAGCGCAGCCACGTTCGGCCTTGTGAGGGCACCGACCCACAAACTTTCAACCCCTATTTTAACCTCTTCATCCCGTTTTTCGCAATAAAAGGTAGCCTATATTTTTTTCAAGGTCTAAAAATTGTCTGTGCCAAATTTCATCAAAATCGTTTGAGACGTTTAAGCGGGAAAGCGTAACAGACAGACAGACAGACAGGCAGAGTTACTTTCGCATTTATAAATATTAGTTGGGATTGACTCCCCCCTCGTACCCTAGTGACGCTTATATGGAGCCTACATCGCGTGCTGGCTAGCTGAGCGTGGTGAGCGGCAACCACGCGACTTTTTTCTAATACTTGCATTTTTAAACTCGTGATATCTTCCGAAAGAAATGTCCGAATTGAATAATTCAAAGAGTTATAAAAAGGTATTGAAGCCGTCTTGAATGTAAAGTAATTTATTTTGACAAGGATTAATACAAAGGTACAAATAAAGAGCCTTTTCAAGCGGCGGCATATAAATTAAATTTTTAGAATAAAAAACCGCTTACTGTGACATAACTATAATATTTAGACATATGATGTCGCGACACTTCTTGTAGATGATGATGAGTTCTGCAAAGTAGTAGTAAATGATTTGGTTCTATCATCAATAGTTTTCGCAGCGCACGCGACGTAAGGAATTTTTCAGATCACTTTTTTACACCTTGTGTTACATTATTGGAGTTTTAGTAAGGATCCCTACTTTTTATTTAAATATAATATAGCTTATATTACTCGGAAATAATGTAGCTTTCCAAAGGTGAAAGAATTTTTGAAATCGGTTCAGTAGTTTCGGAGCCTATTCATAACTAATAAACAAACAAATCTTTCCTCTTTATTAATATAAGATATAAAATATGGATGCGCCAAATACATTGATACAACGAGTGTGAAATGTTTTTGTTATATTCGCTAACAAAACTTTTCGTTTGCCACTTTCTTAACTTTGGATAGCAAAATACATATTTAAAGTTGGTTATAAGATTATTAAAATGAAGAGTGTAAACTCTTCCTTTTCAACCAATTTGATAAAGCTCTCGTTAATATGTATTTTAAATATTAACCAAATAAAACCCACAAACGACTTTCAAATGCAAACGTTCATACCTATTTTTATTTTAATCCGAAATATGAATAATGTGTAACATTAACTATCCTATACACTTAAATATTATGGCGACATGATAGAAGCATTTCATCAATAATATTGTTTTGTTTGTACATTGTAAACTAAATAATTGGTTTAGTATATTTAATATTTATACACGCGTTCGTATTTCATTCTTTGCTCTTTATACGTACCTAATTGAAGAAATCCAAACGGAATATAAAAGAAGGTTAAAGGTACCAATTATATTAATTAAAGTTCAAGAACAAGGAAAATCAATTTAGATATTTTCTGTCTTGTATTGTACTGTATTGTATGTAATATGCTCATTTATTGTTTCAGATCCCATTGTGATTGAAGAATGATATTATAAGGAATCTGGATAACATTTATATTTAAATGAAAATGATATACTTTCATGATAACTATAATGATGAATTTATGAAGTGCCTGTAGTTAGAAAAAACTGTACAACCATGCTGTCGGAACTGCACTTAGCTTTCTATGGGATCTGTCTCTTCATATTGAGTGCGGGAAGTCAACAAGAAGTGCTTATCGAAGAGTCAAGTAAGTATTAATAATTATTGATAATATAATAAAATATATATGTAGAACATTATTATCTATATACAAAAATGCAAACATTAATTTTCAAGACCAAGTACTTACCGTTGTGTTATCTTCGATAGTCTTTTGTCTTTGATAGTCCATTCTTCTATCAATTTCTGAGTTTAAGTGGAAATACTTATAAATTTCTGCCTTTATTATATTATTCCTATATAATTCATACAAATGTGTAGTCATTTTAGTTAACGCTAATTCACGATCCCTTTTACAAAAATATATTATCATACAATGCCCGCATCCACGCTAGAGTTGGATCCCCGGGGTGTTCCGAGTACTATTTTAATTAAATTAATTAACCTCTATTTTAATATAGGGAAAATAATAGTCGTGTGTTGTTTTATATGAATTTGAATATATATTTTTATTAATATTATATTAAAAAGACATGTTTGTTTGTTAGTATTTAGGAAAATAGAACTGATTTTACTCACGTATACTCATAACTTTCCTAAGAATATTTTTTTAATTTTATTCAAAGTTTTTTGATAAATATTTAAGGTTTATTCGAACGGTTTTGAAAATAAAGAGTTACAAAATATATATTATTAAAACGGAATTTTCCTTTTATTACTTTCTGCCGTCACAGAATTTCAATTTCCCGTGACAGTTTATGACAGACGAACATATTAAAAATACTCAGTCATAACACTATATGAAACCGACGTTTTAATTAGCCTTTTAAATTTGTATCACTTGGCTTGGCTTGTATTCTATAAAATATATAGTCTATAATAATATTGATTGCACAACCAGATTGCTTACAAGGGAACATAAGCATGGATTTAAATAAGTATTTGTAGATTGTAACTAAGAAAAGAACTTATATAAAAACCGATATATGTACATATGTTTCATAGAAGGCAGAAACTTTTACTGTATAATCTTTATACCGTGTAACGTTGAATATTTAAAGCATACAAAATAAGATTGGTCCCTCAGACCGACCGCTAATTAAGCTAATTAAAAACAATGACATGCGGAGCGTTAATATTGTCACTTTGTTGTAATCATTTTAAATTCATTTTAAAACTGAATCAGGAAATGATTTCATTATTAAACTTTAAAATGTTGTTTATTAATAATTAGTTTATTCCATGATCGATGTTTTCATTGATATAAAATAATTTGGCTAGAGATTTACAGGTGAAAATAAATTGATATTTATATTTTATTTGTTGAGATTAGTTCAATCAAATCCGTGATAGAATATATAAATGGTTTAGATGTACACAATTGTATGACTATAGTGAAATGATTTTAGAATAATGGATTTTTTGTGGCTGGATTTCGTCAGTATCAATTTTTAATCTTATTTCAAATTAAAGCTTTATTCATAAAACTATGTATTACATATGTTAAACAATAGACGAATAATTTTATGATGAAATATATTGTTGACAAAAACAATACTTTTCTGCAAAAACTGTCTTTTATTATTTTGCTTTATGTTTCCTATGTGAACTTATACGGTTTCTTTTATAATAATTATTTCCCTATACTTCTTTCACCTTCACGGAAAATTATTGTTCGCTCTATATAAAAAAGGTTCTTAAATTTATTTATTTATTTATTTATTTATTTTTTTAATTTTCTATGTTAAGATCTATGAAACCTTTTTCTTGTGACTTTCACTCAAGCCTATTTAACGATAGGGTGGGATATTGTTATTTTGAATTCTTCTTTTTATTAGTCTTTCAAAGTTTAGGATAAAATAATTCGTTGTGTTGTCTATTTTTTGAGCAATAAATTGTTTTTTAGTTTATTTTTTTTACCTATATTAGTCTTACTATGGCTAATACATATATAAGGCTAATAACCTTTAAAAAAGAAATGAGTTATAGAACAAACTAAAAGCAGTCATATAATAGAATCTGTAGTAATTATTGTATACATTACTGCTCCCGTGATTTCACAAGTATAGTTTATATGGACTATCATTTATTTCATACATCTTTGTCTCTTAAATGAAACTAATATTTTCGGATTTTACTTCGCGTTTTATTTTAGAAACTACATACTCCCGACGTTTCGGCTACTTTTCAGCAACCGTGATCACGGGCAGACGAGATGTGAGTGTCTGTCAGTTGGTCTGGTCAATTTATCTCCTACCGCCATCGATTTCTTAATTGTCTTGCGTACCGCTCTGGATGCCGGCAAAATGCGCTCACGGTGTCTCGAGGTCCTGCGGTGTGGTCACGGACATGGGATTTCATATTTTTAAGAAGAGGATCCCAGGTGTTTGATAGGTTCCAGCCATCTTTTCTATTGAAATTTGGGTGTTTTTTAATTTCAATAGCCTCGCGGATTAACCTTGGTATATATCTGTCTTCACGAGCGAGGATCTGTGGTTGATCAAATCTAATGTAATGGCCTGGTTTGTCCAATGCATGTTCGCACACTGCTGACTTCGACGCGCGCCTATTCCTGACGTCTGAAACGTGTTCCTTAACCCTTGTACTGATGCTTCTCTTTGTCTGTCCGATGTATGACAAGCCACAGTCACAATCAAGTTTATATACACCCGCTTGTTGTAAAGGAATGTTACTCTTGATTGGTCTCAAGAATTGGCTCACTTTCTTATGTGGTTTATAAATAGTCTTGATTGAAACCTTCTTCAAGATGTTGCCTATTCTGTCAGTAACTCCCTTTACATATGGTAGAATTGCAGGTTGTCGCTCAACTGTAGGTGGCTTCATCTGGTTCTTGCGATGCTGGCGAGGCACGGGCAGGCTGTTGATGGTCAGAGCACGTCTTACATGCTGCAGCTCGGCCTCTAGGTGGTCAGCATCACAAAGGTGTTGTGCTCTCTGTAACAAAGATTTACCAACGGTAGCTAACTGTACAGGGTGGTGGTGTGATTTACCATTGAGATACCTATCCGTATGTGTGGGTTTCCTATAAACAGTATGTCCCAAAGTATTGTCAGGATTCCTGATGACCAGTATATCAAGGAAAGCTAAAGAATTATTTGCCTCTAATTCTATAGTAAACTGGATCTTATTATTGATAGAATTAAGATGGTTCAAGAAAGCAGATGTTTTGTTTTTATTTAATATTGTGAAAGTGTCATCTACATAGCGTTTATAAATTAAGGGTCTTATTGTAGGAGAGCTAAGGGCTCGCACCTCGAAGTCTTCCATGAATATATCTGCGACAATGGGGGAAACCGGCGAACCCATTGCTACTCCATCTACTTGTATATAGAATTCATCCTTCCACATGAGATAGCCAGATGTTAGGCAGTGCTTTAACAATTCTGGATATTCAATAGGCATCTTATTATCCTTTAACTTACCTCTTACAATCTCAATGCAGTCAAGAACAGGTAGATTAGTGAATAATGACTGTACATCGAAACTGACCATAATGTCATTGTCTGTCAATTTTAGGCGTTTAATGTCATTGACAAACTGGTAGGAATCCTTAACAAATGACTTTGTGTGGCCCCGGAGTGGTGATAAAATCTTTGAAAGGAATTTAGCCAGTTTATAAGTTGATGAATCAATCTGGCTTACAATTGGCCGTAATGGAACATCTTGTTTATGGATTTTAGGTAACCCATACAATTTTGGTGGTTTTGGCATTGAGATTGTAAGAGGTAAGTTAAAGGATAATAAGATGCCTATTGAATATGCAGAATTGTTAAAGCACTGCCTAACATCTGGCTATCTCATGTGGAAGGATGAATTCTATATACAAGTAGATGGAGTAGCAATGGGTTCGCCGGTTTCCCCCGTTGTCGCAGATATATTCATGGAAGACTTCGAGGTGCGAGCCCTTAGCTCTCCTACAATAAGACCCTTAATTTATAAACGCTATGTAGATGACACTTTCACAATATTAAATAAAAACAAAACATCTGCTTTCTTGAACCATCTTAATTCTATCAATAATAAGATCCAGTTTACTATAGAATTAGAGGCAAATAATTCTTTAGCTTTCCTTGATATACTGGTCATCAGGAATCCTGACAATACTTTGGGACATACTGTTTATAGGAAACCCACACATACGGATAGGTATCTCAATGGTAAATCACACCACCACCCTGTACAGTTAGCTACCGTTGGTAAATCTTTGTTACAGAGAGCACAACACCTTTGTGATGCTGACCACCTAGAGGCCGAGCTGCAGCATGTAAGACGTGCTCTGACCATCAACAGCCTGCCCGTGCCTCGCCAGCATCGCAAGAACCAGATGAAGCCACCTACAGTTGAGCGACAACCTGCAATTCTACCATATGTAAAGGGAGTTACTGACAGAATAGGCAACATCTTGAAGAAGGTTTCAATCAAGACTATTTATAAACCACATAAGAAAGTGAGCCAATTCTTGAGACCAATCAAGAGTAACATTCCTTTACAACAAGCGGGTGTATATAAACTTGATTGTGACTGTGGCTTGTCATACATCGGACAGACAAAGAGAAGCATCGGTACAAGGGTTAGGGAACACATTTCAGACGTCAGGAATAGGCGCGCGTCGAAGTCAGCAGTGTGCGAACATGCATTGGACAAACCAGGCCATTACATTAGATTTGATAAACCACAGATCCTCGCTCGTGAAGACAGATATATACCAAGGTTAATCCGCGAGGCTATTGAAATTAAAAAACACCCAAATTTCAATAGAGAAGATGGCTGGAACCTATCAAACACCTGGGATCCTCTTCTTAAAAATATAAAATCCCATGTCCGTGACCACACCGCAGGACCTCGAGACACCGTGAGCGCATTTTGCCGGCATCCAGAGCGGTACGCAAGACAATTAAGAAATCGATGGCGGTAGGAGATAAAATGACCAGACCAACTGACAGACACTCACATCTCGTCTGCCCGGGATCACGGTTGCTGAAAAGTAGCCGAAACGTCGGGAGTATGTAGTTTTTAAAAATTAAACGCGAAGTAAAAATCCGAAAATATTAGTTTCATTTATGTTACAAAGTTTTTTATAATTATAAAACATCGATCCTATTTCATCAAACGATACTATGTAGCGGAGCTACTTAGATTTAGAACAAAATATTTTAAAATTGTATTGCAAATTTAAATTTATATCCATTTACATAGTAATTGTTTATAGTAATAGTGTATAATAATTTATATAGTGTTTAGCAATTGTTTAAAATTAAGTTCATATTTTTTATTTCTTGCGACGGACAAACTTTTGATTAAATTGTATATAGCGAGGATGCCCGCTGCGTCTATTGTTCTCAACGTCTGGGCCCGCACACCTGTAGCCCCGCCGCGTCCCCAGGTAGCCGATGCCGGCTAGCGGAGCGTAGACCGCGCCCGGCTCGTCAGTCCGCATACACATTAGTAGTGGAACGCTTGTTCATCATCGTCAAGACGACACTCACGTGCGCACCCTCGTTTATACATATAAAAATAATCTCGTCTGTGTCCTTAATTCATAAGTAGCGTAATTAATTAGCGGAACATTGTTTATTACGCTAAAGCTACTTTTAATGCAGACGGTCTTTTAAAGCAGATGAATCTTGTGCGTGACTTTGTTGTTAGGAATGATGTCGATATATTACTGATACAGGAATCTTTTTTGAAGCCATATATTTGTGACCCACAGATTGAAAACTATAGTGTCGTACGTAATGACAGATTTAATATCAACGGTGGAACTTTAATTTATTATAAGCAATCTCTCTACTGTGTCCCTCTAGAACCACCAACATTAGTTAACATAGAAGCATCGATATGTCAATTACACATGACGGGACATGTGCTAGCGTCAGTATATCTTTCACCTAATAAGACCGTCTTAGAAAGTGACGTGAATTCATTATTAACAGTCGGTGAATCAGTAATATTAGCGGGCAATTTAAATAGTAAACACACGCGATGGAACTCCAAACGCATTAACGCAAGAGGTAAAACTCTCAGTCGTCTAATAGATAAACAAGTCTTTGACATGAAGATTGTAGCACCCGAAGAACCGACGCGATATCCTGTATAGGTATATCCGACCCCGAACATAACAAAATACAAGACGACGCAGTAATCTTCTTTGAACGTGTTCACAGATGTTGGAGCCGAAGCACCTCTCACACACGGTTTGAAACGAGCCGCTTCGTCACAAGGGAAGCTAGCCTCGTGTATGAGAGGATCATACCCGGTTGTGAAGATAATCACACTCTACAGGTACAGCTGTTAGCTGCCTCATACGACAGATCAACTCGAGCTTTTGAAGAATATATGGTTCCGTGGCAGGGACAATGGACTCACGATGTGTACTCTGATTTCTTTGATGGTGAGGCATTTCTCTTATTTTACCCGAAATTTGGACTAAAACCCATATTGAGACTTAATCCTATTGTACTTTTTATTTTAATTTAGTGTTATGACACGAATATCTAAATGTATTGCAGGTAAAGAGGCGGGACATGAGTTACTTGTTATGATGTGAGTGTTGGTCTGGAGTGAATCAGACACTCTATATTAGAGGTTGATGTCTCTGGGTCTGGGATAACTTTGTCTTGGAGTGCGTTGGATCGGATGAGACCCTGGGCTCGGAATGCTTTACAACCACTTTGTGAGGGCTATGTTTATTTACCTGAGTGAAATCAAAAATCAAAAAGATTTCTACCATTATATTTCTTAATTTCAGACGCAGCCAATGAAGGAGATGACTTATCTCATCACTCCAACCTCCCTCCTGGTGTTGACCAGCCTATGGAAGACAATGAGCCACAAGCAGGCCCCTCTGGGAGGACAAGACATACAGAACTGAATACTTCTACTACCAACTAAGAGAATTTCATGTCCTCTCTGCCAATAGTGCAGTTGTATTGAATATTATTTTTACTAAATTCAATTCTGTTCTTGTTTTCAAGAATATGTATATTATACTTACTTTTCAGAGTCCTTTAAGTATTTCCACTGTTAATATTATTTAATAACTGTTATATATTTATGTTCATGATTTTATTTTACAATTGTACATTGTCAATTTTTTTAGACTATTCTTTGCACTTATATTATTTTGTTAAATTTGTTTGTAATGTCTTTGTAAAGTATATCGTTTCTATGATATTTATCTACATATTTCTGTTTATTAAAAGTAACTTTGATCCACAAGTTAAGTTGGAAACTTTTGTCTTATTTTTTATTATCATAATAATAAATGTATGTGAAAATATTTTAACTCCATTTTAGTTTAACAGTTATGATAGATAAGTGTAATATCTATATATTTCTAGGTACAACCTTTTTTTATGATTTTAAAAACAATATTTAGAATGAACTGTATTTAAAGTTTCTGCGACAAGTAATAGTCAAGTAGCCAAGTGTATGAAACTGTATGAACTGTATGAAGTGACAGATATCGTCCACCAACTACATATATAGTACATATATAATACAGACAGCTCTATAGACTACTGCAGCATATGTCCCGACCAACAGACACATTGAAGGATGAGTCAGTGTTCACATTGATACTTAGAGATGATTATTAGTTAATATGTAATAGGAACAAATGTTGTATTAAAGCTGAATTATGAGGGAAATCACCGATATAACTTGACACAAAATCTAATATAAATCAAATTGTATTTCTTATTTGTGTTAAGATATATGTACTTGATTATAACTAACAATTCGCTTATATAAAGTTATTTAGATTCTTATTTTCGTTTCATTATTTTATCACTTAAGACAGACATCATTATTTTTTGTTATTATGTATTATGTCGCTATAATATTACAGTGATGAGGTTAGTTCAGTTGGTCAATTATTAGAAATTAATTTTAATTCTGTTACAATATCTCTTATAATATCTAGTGACAACGCTGCGTTATTTATCTTTTTATTGAATGGTGTTGAGTAATATTAGTAGTTTTATTTCTTATTAACACGAGTAGGATCTATTGTAAGGTGGCTTCGGTGTGGTTGTGTCCATAAATCATTACACATTAACAGCGCCATCTATTGTTCAGTAATTATGAATTCTTGGTTTTCTATTTTTTAGGTTAATATCGATAAATAGCAACCGAAAGTCTTCATACTATATTATATGATAACTGTAAGATCTGTTATTAAACAGATTAAGATTCAGAATGTATGAAAACATCACAAGAATTTTCTGAGATAAAATAAATTGTTCTTTAATATTATATCTCATACACAGGCACTTATTTTGACTTAATAAACAAACAAATTCAATCACACTACTAAGTCCCACGGTCCGACCGATTACTGTGGATTATTAATAATTTCTGTAGATGGTCTTTTAGTCTCGTGTTAAAAGTGGCGCCATTTGTGCCTAACTAATAATAATATATGTATTATATTATTGAATTATTTTAATTTTGTAATAACATCATTTAAGTATCTGAAAACTTGTACTTGAAAACTATAAATACTGGCTTCAGCGATTTTGTAGGACACTACTAGAAGTGACACTGAATAGGTACTAAAACTCAAGTCAAACTGTAGCTGGAACAACATAGAATAAAATACGATTGCTCGCATAAACCATTCACAAAGAATTGAAAATATTGAGATAATGTTTTATAATTAGAGACAATATCTATATAGTAAGTTATGAATAAACATCACGTACATAAAT